CAAACACAGCTAATCTGATTAAAGAAACAAACGAAGAAACTAGAGATGAAGATTTAAACACACTTAGAAATTCATTTGAAGATGTAAAGATAATAGAAATTATAAACCCATCAACTAAAAAAATATACAACTTAAAAGAAAAAAATATTAATAAAGTGAAAGCAGTTTTAAATGAAAGTTTTGAAGAAGAGAGTGATGATGAAGTATCAGAAGCTAGTGATATTAATGGTTTCTTTAATGATATTGACATAAATTCAGAAGCAATGGATTATACGGATTATAAAAATAGTTTATATAAAGAAGATCCTAAGTTTTTTGATTTAGAATTAGCAGCAGGTAGAAGGGAGGAAGAAATTTTGTATATTTTTGATAAAAACGGATTAAAAAATGCAGCAATAATTCGTCATAAAAAGAAAAAATTTTTCATAAATCTTGGATTGAAAGGAAATGTTTTTAGGCAAATTTTTGATAAATTAGCTAAATTAGCATGTATAACAGCACAATAAAATCATTGAAAATTTTTATTTAATATTGAGACCAACAGCTAAAGCTAAAGCATTTACCTCATTAAATACACTGGCAATTTCATATGGAACAGTGGCTTTATTAGAAACTTTAGCACCGATAGAAGCAAATGCAACTTCACTAACAACCTCTTTAATTGCTTCAATACCATCCTCCTTAGTAAACACCAACAATGATTTATCAAATGATTGACGGTCTTCAAATACTCTCAAAATGTCACAACCATATTTAAAAGGCAAAATATTTAACAAAGAAAGTAACTTAGACTTAGCAATACCAACTAAAGCACCTTCTTTAACAAGAACATGATCTATAGCAATATTAATCTTACCTTTAACAACAGTAGTATTAATTCTATTAGATACGAACACATTAATATTAGCAGCATTAATATCAGTTATTCCAGCAGGTATAACAATATCATTATTAGCAATATCACTTGACTTAGCAAATGAGTCTCTAGCATACTTTTTACAAATATCATAAATAATGTTAGCTGAATTAACAAACTCATAGAAACAGATAATAACATTATTCTTAATGTAACTAATAGTTTCATCAAATTTTCCATCATCATTAATTTCATTTAAAGCTTTCTTTACAATTTTATTCTTACCAAAGTAAAATTTAGTATCATTTGGTAAACTAGTTTTAACATTCATGAATTGATTGCATGTTACTTTATCTATATTCATAATAATGTACTTATCGTAACTGCTAAAAAGTTCTTTAGCTCTATTAAATGAATTTAATTTTGTTTCACTAATTTCTTTACTCATTAATTTATGGGTTAAATTTTTTATTAAAAAATAATTTGTTTGTTTTTTACCCTCATTCAATGATTTTATTAATACTTAATTTTATAAAATTAATATGTGGTGATGTGTTTATGGTTAAGGATATACAGAGAATTAATTTTATAATGCAACCAAATAATATCAACAGTGGTTATTTTAAATGTTATGGTGAAAATGATTCTTTTGATGTTCAGTTCATTGGTACTGATGATCCTTCTAAGATTTATTTTGAACAGCAAATTGATGGTAAAGATCAGAAGAAATACCACTTTTCATTTAATAACAGTGGACCTGATAAGATTACTTTATTAATTAAAGGTAAAGAAACTAACAACAATCATATGATTTTTTATTGTAGTGAATCTAAGATTGATACTTTTGGTGAAAAAGAATCATCTGAATTACTTATTAAACCTGCCATTTCTGACTTAAGAAAATTGCTTAATAAGTTGACTGAGGTAGTTAATTCTTCCAGAGAAAGTATCACTAAAAGTAAAAATT